TCTCGCTTTTTCTTGCTCGCCGTCCGTGCATCGCTGTCCTTTTACGTGTAATGTATGACAAGCCTGAACTGATGTCGGTCAATGGTTAATGACGTCATAAGTCTCCTACACCGAACACGACCGTAAAATGTACCCATATATCTCACTCGGGTCCCCACGGTTTCCTTTATCCGTTTCTTTTTCTGTCGTTCGTGCGGGGCTGCGAGCGATGCGACCGGTCTCTAACCGGAGAAGACTATGGAAGCAACAGTTCGAACGCAGATGACGAGCCAGAACGTGGAACGAGTGTGAACGAGGCATTATGTTCCCATGTTACATTAAGATATGTGAGGATATTATTTACGACAGCGGAAACGTAGCGCCAAGGTTTTCAGTGACAGCCGTGCGTTTGATGCGAACCCAGGCTATGTGTTACATCGCGGAACGCGGCNCGTAGGTCACTCAATGTTTAACCTCTATGGAATTTCCTGAGAGAAGATTAAAGAATATCCGCGAGAATACCACCGAAATCTTCGAGAAAGTTGCACAAGAAATTTTAATTTATTACTCCAAAACTGATTAGTACATAGAATCACAGACTTAGAAGGATATATTGATAGGAAAATTTTGGTAAATTAAAAAATTGCTTCAATAAGCTATACTGGATAGCCTTTTGTATCTTAATCTATTAACCCTAGAAAGATAACCATATGACAACGTACGTAAAAGATAACCATACGCTTCAGAGGCGCATGCTTTTCTAAGGCGTCAATTTTATACTAACAATGGATATTTATTTAAGTTAATCTAGTCATTTTAAAGGTTTGGCATTATTGTAAAAATAAAATGCATTTATATTATATTTTTTTATATTTTAAGTAATTTTAAACTTAAATCACTAGACCTCTATGAAAAATTAACAAAAATTAACAAAAATCAACAGTCTTCGCAGGCGCCTCTGCGACGTAGGTTATCTTTCTCGGGTTAAGAATAATTTATAGTTTCGTTGAACAATGTTCAGTAAAAATGTAGAAACTAGTAATAAAGTAATATTGAACATATGCACATGTAATTAAATAAATATAAATAATTCTCGTATTTCAATTAAGTTTAAGGTTGCAGTGCAATTCTTTTTTAGCAGTTTTTAGCATTTCAGTAGAAGAACATATGGTTCTTCTACAATATTTATGTATCAAATTTATTCCTCATTCGTAAATCGATACAATCATTATGCAACAATATTCCGTATTATTCTACGTTTACAATAATGATACTAAAATGTAAGATAAATTCGTTCAGTAGATGTTTCGCTGGAACTTCGATTTACGATTCTACATTATTATAACATTTCTCATGAAAATTTACAAAGATCGTGCACGCACATACAATTTCAAACGCAACAAATCCAAATAACAGTGACAGGTCAATTTATTTAATAGAGAAGATATAAACAAGGATCCATCTTATATTGTATTTTCAATTCCTCTTCTCACGCCGCATCCGTAAATCAAATCGAAATAACCAGACCGCATTAAATCATTATTTGAAATTACCTTTCGTACAAACAATCTCTAAAAAATGTTTCCTCTTCCTTTCATTCAATTCCGTTGAGAAATGTATTATGACGTTTATTATATTCTCCGTTGCGGCGGAATAATGATTTGAAAGCGTATAGCAACCCTTTCATTAGTTTTCCGAATTTGTCATCTGGCCCCGGTAGCGCGTAGCGAGATCGAACGTTGGTGGTGCATGAATTACGATTTTAGTGATTAACCTGTGTCGCGCGGTGCCCATACGAGCACATTCGTATGTAAATCTCGCTTTTTCTTGCTCGCCGTCCGTGCATCGCTGTCCTTTTACGTGTAATGTATGACAAGCCTGAACTGATGTCGGTCAATGGTTAATGACGTCATAAGTCTCCTACACCGAACACGACCGTAAAATGTACCCATATATCTCACTCGGGTCCCCACGGTTTCCTTTATCCGTTTCTTTTTCTGTCGTTCGTGCGGGGCTGCGAGCGATGCGACCGGTCTCTAACCGGAGAAGACTATGGAAGCAACAGTTCGAACGCAGATGACGAGCCAGAACGTGGAACGAGTGTGAACGAGGCATTATGTTCCCATGTTACATTAAGATATGTGAGGATATTATTTACGACAGCGGAAACGTAGCGCCAAGGTTTTCAGTGACAGCCGTGCGTTTGATGCGAACCCAGGCTATGTGTTACATCGCGGAACGCGGCGAACAAAAATTGTCGCATTCGTTGGACGTAGATAGTAATTAGTAGACAGCAGTTCCATTCATTCGAATTATTAAAGACCGAACATGAATGATTATGTAGTCGATGTATATATCTTGCAAGAACAACTTGACTCGGTTTAAGTTTACAAGTGGAAAAAGACGAATGAAATGCTCATTTGTTGATTTTATAAGACATAATTAAAACGAACAAAGTTTTTTTTAATGTAACCAAATTTTCTCTTTTTTTTATTACGAGCTTTTTTCACCTGAGATTTTCCTCAGGTGAGATTTATTCGCTACATAGTAAAGTGAGTGTAGTTAATCATAAATCTTAAACAGTAATTCATGGGTTATTTATACATTTATGGTACATGTTACAAGCAAAACAGAAATGGTGGTCGGTAGAAACAGATTTAAAGCTACTAAGTTGCTGATATAGTTTGGATCTTTGAGATTCAGAGGATATTGCCAGACAATATGGTCAATATCTTGTTCGCTACTATTGCGATTATTCAATTAACCTACTCGAAATAGGGAGGAGGCTAAAGAATAGTGATTATAGCTCTGCAACAATGTAATCAAATGTTTTTACCACTTGACAAGAAATTATCATTGGACGTAGTCATTTGAAATAGTCACGGTCGTTAAATATTAGAAAATGCGTGAACAGATTTAAGTTGTTTGTGCGATATAAAATTAAAGCAGACGAACCTTGTATTTAGTTTGTATAAAAAATTTGTATTTCTTACAGTGGGAAGAGTTAGTACATGTAAAACTACGTATGTATTGTTAATGAATTGCTCATTTTACTATACGTAAACATATTAATCATCATAAAATTAAACAAATTAAATAAATTTGAACGCAATCTCCTTCACATGATTGATTTATAAAATTGTTGCCTTCATTATTGAACTTCCAACATTGGCCAACAAATACCGTTAGCGTTAATGTATTGTATAATATTTCAATAGAAAGTGTTAATACTATGTCCAACTATTGCAAGATTATGTTTATTTTTCTACTCCTCTTAGAAATTTAGATCCCGGGCATTAAAACAATGTATAATACACTTACAGATTAATTTGCAGAATTATTAGTTATACTTAAACTGTGGATCTTTGTGTAAAATAAAAATTGTCTGCATCAATTGCGCCAAACAAGATTTAAACAAAGATGCATTCCTTCTCTTAATACTACTACGACAAAATTCTTACATTCCTCTAATTAATCCATTCTCGTATTAATTCTGTTCTTTATTTCATTTATCCATTTTTGCCACAAATGCATACAATCCGCAGTTTAGTTACGAAATAAGCTGCATTATAAAAGTGTTTTTCCCAAGCCATAGCTGTACATTATGCTTACAGAGGAAATACGCAAGTTTAAATATGAGCATGTGCGACAAATCCGGAAGCCTAATGTACTTTTCCTGCTAGCAAGAGCTCAAATGGCAGAAAAGACTTTTTGACAGCGCTAGAAATCTTAATCGGACCTTGCGAAACCAGAAAGCAAGAGTCTTCATTTTGAAAAATTACACAATTTCCAGATTTTAACTGTTTTTTTTTATTTTTAGCTTTGAATAATTGTTTTTGTCGGATTATTATGAACCGAACAAGAATCTGTTAATTTTTTGTAATTTTATGCATTTGTGACAATGAAGAATAGGTGCAATTTTAAACAGGTGAAAAGATTGGAAGAAACCAAGTATGCTAATGTATTGATTTCAACTTATTAAAATTGTTCAAGAAAGAAAAAGGTCTGGCTCCTATGTTCCACAATTTTAATTTTGTCTTAAGATCCGCATCACTGGTGATAAATGATCAATCTTCAAAAAATATTACAAAATTTAGCATGATTTGGTGCAGATTTCATTTCGATTTTACAAAATAACCATCGATCAAGCAGAGAAAGTTCTTTCAACTTCCGCTTGTACAGATTTGGTAGTAAAATTGTAAATTCGCAAATTTGCATAGACTTTTGCAGATAAGATTGCTAATAGGGGTAATCAATTTCTATTCGATGTTTGCTAAATCAGTTTACCGATATGTAAAACAAAAAGATCCAAGTTCAGCCGTTAAAATAATCGACGTATTAGTCCACAATCGCCACAGATAACCGTTTAATTTACAAATCGAAACTTGTTCGAAAAGTGTGCAAACATTATGGCGAATTGTAAATTTCATTCGAATCAGCGGAAGATAAAATATACGCAAATATCTCTGTCCCTCGCGAAATCGACTCTCCGACTCGGAGAGTTTTCAAGCATTTTATTTTGCTTTCGCAGGATGTTAATTCCCGGGACAACATGTACCGATCAATTCTTTGAAAGCAAGATTAATCGGCATGGATAATCCGTCAGGATTAGCTAATCGTGATCGCGGTTCATTTTACTATTGCGCAATGCGAGACACTGTACTGTGACATAATAGCGATTCATTGTTATTAAAAGGGTTTAACGCGATAATGATAGAAACAACGCAGATTCGCGACAGTAACGATGAAATCGCGTCTACAGTGAATTAATTATTTATTGAAAACTTAATCGCAGATCGTATCGATCACGCTATTGCGAAACTAAATAATAAGAACTTTCAATAGAAGGTTCGATAGACAGCGAAGATTTATGGCACGAGTAATTCGATATATCGCCATTGGCAGATCTTTAATTATTCCTCGTCAAATTAATACGTATTTCAATTATGGTAACAACAAATGATTATAGGAAATGAGAGATCGGGGGTAACGAGCGAAACCGATGAAAGAGGAGGCAAATGTTCAACTTAAAATACCTAGGTTTATTCATCGTTGTTAACGTTCACTGCGAGCGTTACATCGTTTGGCAATATTACAAATATACAATCGGACATATCGTTATCACGAGCAAATGTATCAAGTAGCTTCATTTCAAAACTGTTACGAATCAATCGCTCCTAATCGCTAGAAGTCCTCCGGGTATTCGAAACGAAGAGAACAAACATAAGCGTACACACTTACATCTAGAAAATCAGAGTCGCGATGGGTCGCTAGGTCTTCTACGAACCTGAAGAGACCCACCGTCGCGTCAATCGTGTCCTATTTCTACTGTGCAATCCGCGTTCGACGTTCAAGCACCTTTCTTCGGCGTTCGTTAAATTTCCTTTCGAACAACGAATACAGTCTCAATATTCATGCGTGACTAACAGGCTCTCCGCCTTTCGACGTCGAAAAATCCGTCGGTCACAAAGCACTCGAAACATCGTCCGAAGCGTATTTAGTCGCATCAAATTTCCATCGTTTTATCGGGCTGTTGCATATGAAATGGCGGATTTTTAAGTAAATATTCAATCGGCAAACTGTTACTTCTTGGGGAGCAACAACCCAACGAGTAGCGCGAAAAGGTTTAACCCTTCGGAGTCTAAAATTCAGAACTTGCTGTAACTAGACCGTGATCTTTACGCAAGTTCTCGTTTTCGTGCGTCATTTTACAGAAATAAAAAATAATACAATGAAGTACAAACAGAAAATGAGAATGCTATCGGACAATTCATACGTTCTTTTGCATTTGAAAAACCTGCACGTGCTGTGCAAAACACAAAGATTGGCAGTCTAGCTAAACATTACATAACCCAATCCCGTAACAATGCAAACAGAAGAAATATTCTAATTGTTCTTACATATCACGTGCCATTATTCATCAACACGATGCAAAGCAGCAAGATAAAAATTAAAAGTCAAAAAGTTTGGCTCGACGTTGAATCGCGAATGATTAAGAAATACAATTCCGAATAATTGTCTACGTTTTAGAGAACGGATGCTCCCACGTTTCTATCGACTAAATACTCATCCGGACGAAGGTAATTCGTTGTTCCCGGGCGCTTGCTCGAGCACGGACCGTCTAGTTGACCAGATTCGACGTGGTCTGCTCAGGATGCGCGGCGATGTACTCCAAAGCTTTCAGAATTCCAGCCGGGATCGGATGAGGAGTAGGAAGATGATCGCCCTTTGGCTGGAAGCCATTCTCGTCAGCGACATAACTCAAGGCTACCGGGGATCCGTCATCGAGAGAGTAGCTGTACGATCCTTGAACGGCGATCACCGAGTTCGTATCGTTCAGCTGCTTCAGTTGCCCGTGTTCTTCGGCTTTGATGCCGTTCCCAGTTTCGTAGCTGAAAGCGTACGAGCCATCCGGGTTCGGACCGTCAGCCGTGTACGCAAGAATTCCGACGGGCGTAGAGTTGTCCACGGGAGCGGCCATAGCGGAAACCGCGAACAGGGCGAAGACAGTGCAAGCCTGATGAGAACATTTATTTTTAATTAATCGAACTTGATAAATTCAGTTTTTCTAAGCTAACGTCCTGATTGTAAGGCAATTTCTGGATTTTTTTTTTAAACAAAGACACTGAGTATTATGATTTTAAATTTGTATTTTGAATTTCAATTTTCGTACTATACACAGATTCTTTCGTAATAGTTATTTATACCTTTTGATTTGTTCATTTTATTTCTTCTCGGGCTTCGGATATTCGAAACAACTTAAAATTTATGTATATAATTTTGTTTTCACTAAAACTGCAATTCAAACAGCAAATTGTAACTGCTACGGCAGAGAAGTAGCTAAATGGATGAGAATAATTTGAAGAATGTACTTGAATTTTTGTATACAATTGTGATGATCTTTGCGCAATTTACAGCGATAGTAATTGGAACAGTTTGAGAATGATTCTTATTGCTATCGAATACGATTTTTACTGTTTTCAGAGAATTGACAAGAGGAATATGAGGTATGTTTCAATCTACGTGAGTGCAGATGTGTCATATATTGAGAAATATTGAAATTTTTCAGTTTTCTATGCTGTGGAATTCAAATTTGTAAATAATCTCAAACGACGACAGAGGATGTACCGAATGTGTCTGACAAGTTTTAAGTTGTTTGGTTGATTAATTTTTAAGCATTACGTTCGATAGGTCGAAAAAACTGTTTTGAGAAACTCTGTATTTTAAGTTTCAGGCAACGTTAAAAGTGTATCAACTGTTCCAAATTTTTGAATTTATTTATAGTGCTTTGAGAACATATTTCGAATAGGTTAAACTGTAAGAATATGCAAAAAAAAGACACGATCCTTAAACAATTTCGTCGACGCTCATGTTACGATAGCAAGCTTAAAAGTTACATTTTAGAGTTATTAGTTAGTTATATTAGTAAGATTAATCCTTCAGGTTTTGTTTTATCATGGATAAGCAGTGAATGTATTAAAGAGGTTGTAGAGAGAATTTAAATAGTACATTAGTACAACAGTTTAATAAAGATTTTATGTCCCCGTGCAAACATTGTATTTTTAGAAATAAGGATAATAAAGTTTATAATTTTAATATATATATAATATAGTTACAATCTCACATTAACAAGTTTTAATATAAATAAATAGTATTTCCATAAACCAATAAAGGTTGGTAGAATTTTAATCTCGTGCCATTAAGTCCATCTAAAAAATTATTCAAATGTAAATGGGAAAATGGTGTAAAACGAAAACTAATTTCCTTGGATCCATGATATAAAGAAATTATAAAGAATACTATTATAAATATCAAAAAACGTATTTAAAAAATCATTTGACAACCGACACGTTGTGAACACACAGAATATTTTGGAATTTTCGAGCAAACATGTTAAAATCTTACGCGCAGAAAATTTGTTATATGCATTGTTATGGTCTTTGTGAGTTACCGAGTAAACAAATTATTCTCCGTGTTAGCCAATTGACACGTTGCAACTGTGAAAAGTTTGCAAGGTCCGTAAAACTCGGTGTTGACAGAATGATGAAACATTTTGGTTAGGTGTAGCACCAATGATCCGTTATCTCCGTGGAACTTACCAAAGTGTTCATGATGATCAGAGTTGTTTTCTCGTTGTAAAGAGCAAGTCTAACGGGCGGGTTTATATACTGCTGCCGAAACCTTGCGAGGTGCGAGGACCTCCCTCTCATTGATAGATTTCTGGCCGAAGCTTAGACACCGGCAAACATTACGAAATTTTCAGGGGGGGTCTAATAGAGGGGCACTCCGTCCACTGACCACAGCACAGACACGCGACGTCTCGTCAACGTGTAACACCGTGTCCTTACGAGACATGTTCATGAAATTTCTTCGAAACAAAGTCGCATTCGCATCGTTTCGTTAATCTGCGGTTCCTGCAACCTCGTTACGTGAGTATAAATTAAATGATTTCAAACGTTTTCAATATTTTCAACAGAGAAATTAAGTCGAGTTCTCTCATGGGGTACGCTTTTATTCCGTTTATCATGGATTTAGAATTATCTGTAGAAGAAACTAAGATATCATGAGAGACGTAACACTTTTGGACATATTTCTTATTTTATTATTTTAGGCTATATTTGCGACTGTATTGTTCGTAAGTGGACTGCGGATTTTATACAGCTATGACAAAACTTGGTTGATCAAATACAAATCAGTAAAAATATACAAGAAATTGTAAAACACTGTTGAGCTGTTTTCAACTTATTGAAGTAATTAAGAAACGAAATAAATATCGTAGCTCTCGTATCTTTTAATTAGTACAGGATCTTTTTATTTCGTATAAAAATTCTCAGTCCAATTAGAAGTTAGCTGCTGGTCTTTGCGCATTTATGACACGTGCAGATTTTTCAAATGCAATGACAATGTTCAGTGGCATTTTCATTTTCTTTTTACAATGAGTAATATTTTCATTGACGAAAGAAACTTGTCTTGAATTTTCTTATTTTTGTAAAAAGAGAATATTTGCACAAAGATCTGCAATATGCATGCAATTTTAATCAGGGGTTTAAGTCAAACATTGGAGTTCGGAAAATGAAATTCACGTTTTAATATTTATAAACATGCATACTCATATTTTTGAAGAAAACTCGTTACTAGATTGCGGATCTTTATGTGAAATAGAAATTTTCTGCATCGAGATTGCGAGAAGAATGAGCCGAGTATAATTTTTTCTTTTTTTTTATAATAATTTCAGTAAGTTGAAATTAGTATACCAGCATCCTTAATTCCTTTTAATCTTTTCACTGTTTTCAGTTTCATCCACCTATTCGTGTCATAAATGCACGAAATCCGCGGTCTATTCATTACATTTTCTAAAGCCCTTTCTTTCGTCGTTCAGTGTTTTCATCAAATCATTTGGGATTTCATAAAGTGTAAGGTACAAATGGTGCAGTAAAAACTGAAATATTTTCGAAAATTTTCCGAAAATGCTACACAAAATTCGATTCTGAAAAATTTGTCATTCAATCCAGTAAATAACGGAGCTTTAACGAAAAAGGAACTTTCCGTTGTGGAACGAATACAGAATCGTTAAGAGATGAAATTTGTTTGTGAGAAACTATGGAACAGAGTGTATCGACGAACAAACGCGGCAAACATAACCGTTTTACAATTAAAATCAATTATGTAACGTGATTTGTGAGAGATCGCCTGATAAATTGAGTTTCCAGTGCGAAATAGATATATGGATCGGGAATTTTATACATGGGCAGTTTGAGTGTATGAAGAAAAATCAATTTGTTTGAGTGGTTTCAATGAAAGTTTATTTTATCAAACACACATGCAGCTGCATCAAAATGAATTAAATATCCGACTATCTAAGTTTGCCCGGTTAATTAAAAATATCGAATTTTTAATAAAACATCAAGTGAGAAAACTACACGCGTGAATCGAATTGTAAAAAGTTACTAGAACGCGAAAAATGCAAAGTCTGATGGAACAAGCAGTTTCAAGAAAATGCGAAAGTAGTCGGTGTTGAAGGAGAGACAAAAGAAGAAATGTCACTCGTCATACTTTTAAATCAATGCTGAAGGCCTGCCAAATATGGAATCCGCTTAAAACGCTTCCATTGACCCGGTGATCCCTTTGTGAGAATTTTCGTATTTCGCGTGTGCTATAAATTCAGCCCTGTAACAAATCTCTGGAGCCTTGGGTTCAGCACGCGAACCGAATACATAAGTTAATCTATCTCCACCGCGCAGGGGACTGACTGCCAAATTTTTTTGCAGGAAGCGTGCATCGGTCGTTCGCTAATTTTTATGTGCTCGGAATCGTGTTAAATTTGCCTGTCGCGAAGTGTAGACTGACGTCGTCCTTGTTTCTCCGTCTCCAAACTGAGTAAAAGTTACTCCAATGGAATATTTCCGTTTATTCGCCGTCTTTGCATGGTTCTAGGAATCCTTGAATATTCTGGGCGCCCATATAGCTCTGCCGAACTTCGGTAGGCTGAATTGCAACAGCTAACACATCTGCGGATTATGAAGGTTTCGTCCCACCATCCAATGAAAGTGATTAACAAATGATAGTTAGAATTACAGAGAATATACACAAACATAAAATTACTCATGTTTTTCAACATTCATCACCGAAATTTATTTTTATTTCACTTTTACATTTATACCTTTTTGTCGTCTCTGTTGAAAATTTTAATGCACTTCTGTTTCGTGGAGTTATCATGATCTTTAAATTATTGTTGGAACACCGTAATATTTTACTGACAAACATGATCATTTTACAAAAATTTCAACCATTGCATAATTGTAACCTTTAGAATAAATATAATGATGAGACGAATTTTAAGTAAAAAATAGATTGCAGTTCGTGCTTTAGATATATGCAGTATTACAAATTATTATTAAATGTAGTCTTTAGTTTTAGTTATAGTGACAATACGAGTTCAAAAGGTAGCATAATAATACAATTTACGTATAGGAGTAATTTATTATTATATGAAAACACTGGAGTGAGATCATTAATTATTCGTCAATAAATAGTATTGTACAAGAAATGAAAATCTTATGGTTAAAAATATATTGGCATAGTGCTGATGTGTACAGTAATTATACTACACATAGGAGTGACGGTCACTTAGAAATGCAATAAAAAATCCATTTCTAAGTGATGAAATTTTATTCAGTTGTATCGCGTGTACGAAGGATTTTAATGCCCCGATCATTACAATAAATGATTTAAATGACTGAACAATAAGAAGATAGTTTCTCTCATTAATAATGAGAATAGAAACAAAGTTTTAGCATTGATAAAACTAAATCCATAAAAATGAAAATCTCGGTTAAATTCTAATATTAAAGAAACTAAAATTATGAACATTGTAAACATTTCATCGAAATCATATTTACCTCATTGCAATGTTAATGAATTTTGATCAAGTTTTCAAAGTGTATACACCCGACACAAAGTGCAGCAATTGACACCAACCAATTGCAACTTTTTCATCATTTCTTTTACACGTTGTTTAGTAAACTAATCTTCCTAACTTCTGAACAAAATTCGAGTCATTCACAATGTTAAAACACTGATTCTTTTCTGAAAATTATCTAATCATTAATCAAAGTCGCTTTATATGTTTATCCACTATATATTTTTGGATCCGACAGAATTTATTAAAATTTCATGAAATTTTGTCTGGCTTTCCAATGCCGAGTTCAAAGCTTGAATGGTTAAACACTGTAATCGTTTCACCATAATAATAAATCTTCTGGGAAAAGGGAAGAGAGATTCAAAGGGTTTGACACGCGCTACCGGAATGTCCTGAGGAGCGTTAGTATTCAAACCTTTTCCCAAGACCGACCGAAACTGAAAGTCACGGGACGGATAAACAGAGATAAGGAACACGGATAAAGAGGCAAGTATTCATAGTTAAATTTGACAATAAAACAACGCCTCTAGCAGGGTACTTAAATATCGACACTTGATCCCCCGACGTTTGAAGATACTAATGGAATAAACGGTTCCCTATTTTGAAATCTATGATTATTTTTAAAAAAGATAAGACAGTCGGCCGCTCTACGAAGTGTAAACAAATGAATCCACAGTTCGTTGGGAAATGTCGTTTTGAGTCATCTGGCAGACTCCGCGCATGATTATTTGCCAATCTTCATTTTACTGTCGGTAAGATAGCATATTAAGCCTGGTTGCGTATATTAAAGGGGCCTGCGTAATGTTACGTCGACCCGTCCTTTCTATTTTTGAAAAAAAGTGAAATGCATTAATTTTTTGCTAATACAATTTCATAATTTTCGATCAGAGTAAATGCAAAACTTTAGATATCTGTACTAATTTAATCCTAGTATCATTAAAATCATTGAATTGAATTTGTTTAATTGAATAGAATTTTTGTTTAATTGAATTAAACTTTCGTTTAGTTGAAATGAATGTTTGTTTAATCGAATTTAATTTTTGTTTCATAGAATTGATTTTTTTTTAAATCGAATTGAATGTTTGTTTAATTGAACTGAATTTTTGTTCAATCGTGTATTATATCGTATATTATAATTAAAGTCTTAGTAAATTTACTAAATAATTCTGAGTCTCTNAATTGAATAGAATTTTTGTTTAATTGAATTAAACTTTCGTTTAGTTGAAATGAATGTTTGTTTAATCGAATTTAATTTTTGTTTCATAGAATTGATTTTTTTTTAAATCGAATTGAATGTTTGTTTAATTGAACTGAATTTTTGTTCAATCGTGTATTATATCGTATATTATAATTAAAGTCTTAGTAAATTTACTAAATAATTCTGAGTCTCT